GATTTTCAACTTATAGATTTTAGACATTGTTATTTGTGACAGGATGAGGCATCTATAAACCATAAATGCAGACCCATTCCTTTTTTGTAGGTATCTGAGAGGGCCACAAAGCATTAATGATGTTTTACATTTACTCTTAATAATGAATAGGAAAGTGAACCTAAGTCATTTTTCTTTAGCACTTCGAATCTTCATTTCATTTTCTTAAGAAGTTTATGTCTCGTACAATAAAATACTTGTACAATAAAACCCTGATGGAGGGTTATTTTACTCAGGACCATGGACTATTTTCTGTTTTAGTAATAAACAATATAATAAAAATCTAAAATAGTAAATATGTTGTATTTAAATAAAACAAATGTTTTATTTAAATACAGAATGTCATAAGATTCCTCACCCACAAAAGTATCATCAACAACAAAAATAGTTAAAGGAAAAATTACTTAAGAATTCAGTTATTTCCAACTTGGTCATTTTAATTTTATCATAAACTGAAATCTTGAAAAATAAACAAATAAGGCTCTCTAGTACTGAAAATGGAGGGGTAGCATTTTTGTACCCTTAAAGATAAGAATGTTTAGAGAGAATAGTGCAATAAATGCAATATACTTTTCAACCAGATTTAACTTTTAAAATTTTTGCTTTGTCTATGTTTTGATGGTGTCTAGATGTAAATTACATACATTGTGACATTTGCTCTTAAGACTTTAGTTTCCATATCCAAATAACTAAGAATATTGTCTTGCATAACAACAATACCATTTTCACAGCAAAATACGAATAAGATCATTAATATAACATTTTTGACCAAATAAATTAAAAAACTCAGACAACACATTGTAGTTCCATGTCATTATAGCCACTAATAAAGATTTTTAAAGCAACTGTGAGTAGAGTGTGAGCGATAATAATCCATGCAACTATAGTACAACCTAGAACCCATTACAGATTAGGCAAAAAGTACCTGCAGTTTGCCAAGAATAATTTTTTAAAAAATAGATAAAAGTTTTAAATAAATCATTTTATTCCTGAATCTGACACTATTTCAAAAGTTCTCATTTTCCCCATCTTCCTGCCAGTGTCATGAACTCGAAAAATGGGGATAACAAGCTTCAGAAATTTAAACTCGTTTATCCCAGTACCTCCCATCAGACAAACCTCATACTGGTAAACTGGTAAAAATTTACTTTTTATTCAGATTTTCAAATACAGTCACATGAGAGTAACAAACTACTAGCATACATAAAGAGAGAAAATACTGTGTATCCCCAGTATGTGGCTTTTTTAAAAAATTTCAACCTAAATACTAGTAAAATAAGCAAGAAACAGACAATCAATAACATGTAACTTTAAGTTAGAAGAGATTTCCAAAGTTAATGAGTAGGGCTTAGAATAATCCAATAGTTAACTGAATGGAAAGCTATTCTTACATGTGGGGCTTTCCTCCATATCCCTCCCAGCACCCTGAGGAGGAAACTCGGGGATAATCGGATTCAGGAACGTGAACTCCTTTGTCCCTGAACCTCCCATCAGACACACCTCATACTGGTAGCTCTGGGACAGAGTCCCCGTACCGCTGACGTCCATCAGGTGGCCCGGAAAGCGGCCCCCAGGCACCGAGCAGC